TCTCTGCCATTGGAAACCACTGCAGTTATACTAAAGCATATTACTGGTGTTCTTCCTAGCACTAAAATCTCTCAAGAGGTCGCTAGAAGATGTAGAGGCATCCATCCAAATTTTCTGTACCTGGACCCATAGATATTCTTATAGGGGTAGAGCTCTACGAACAAATATTTAACGGACGCAAGCTATCTTTAGGTGAAGGATTTCCTTCAGCATACTCATCTATTTTTGGCTGGATTCTGATGGGTAGAGCCCCATTGGACTCTGACATTTCGCATCAAGCTCTATCAATGGCCTGTACTGCTGATCTCAACTCCATTCTTTCAAGGTTTTGGGAGGTTGAGGAGGTTCCAGCACATCACGTACAGGATCCTGAGGATATGCTTTGCGAAAAACATTTTGTAGAGACTCATTCTCGCAATTCTAATGGTAGGTTTATAGTGCGCTTACCTTTCAAGTCGGGGCGCATAGCTCTGGGCTCTAGTTTTGATAATGCTCTTAAGCGATTTTATAACTTAGAACGGAAACTCAGCAAGGATAACCGTCTCAGAGAGCTCTACATAGAGTTCATGAGAGATTACCTTCAAGCAGGTCATATGCGTCTCGTTACTCCGGGCGATTCAGCAGATCGTTATTATATTCCACACCACGGTGTATTAAAGGAAAGTAGCAGCACCACTAAGCTTCGTGCTGTGTTCGACGCTTCCGCGCCGACTAGCTCTGGTGTTTCACTTAATCAGCTTTTGATGGCTGGTCCAAAGTTACAACAGCATGTCGAGGATATCATATTGCGCTTCAGAACTCATGCTATCGTGTTCACATGTGATATAAAGCAGATGTATCGTCAAGTTCAGCTACATGAAGATGATAGCAAGTATCACACCATCTTCTGGCGTGAGTCTCCTGATCAGCCTATCCAACAGTTTGAGCTGACTACAGTCACATATGGAGTCACTCCAGCAGCTTATTTGGCTATGCGCGTCATACACGAGCTAGCTGCACTTAATGCTGAGCAGTATCCTGCTGCAGCGGAGGCATTGAGGAATGATACCTTCGTTGATGACGTCATTACAGGGACCTCTGATGTTCCATCTGCCAAACGTCTTCAGCAGCAGTTGGTGGAAGTTCTTGCTGGGGGTGGTTTTCAGCTACGCAAATGGGCTAGCAACAATTCTGATATTCTGGCTGCATATCCTGATGATCACCTGGAGAAGCCTCTTCGCTTTGAAGAGTCCGGAGAAAGCATTTTTAAGGTATTAGGAGTGGCATGGAATTCGGATTCGGATAGTTTCGTTTATCAGGTTTCAAGTTTCAGTAGATGCAGGACTAAGCGAGAAATTCTATCTAACATAGCGCGCATCTATGACCCGTGCGGCTATTTAGCACCTGTTACGTTTTACGCTAAGGTTCTGATGCAACGTGTCTGTGCCTTACAAATATCCTGGGACGATCAACTTCCCGAAGAAATCATCATGCTGTGGGATTCATTCTCCGAAGCATTTAAGCACGTTAAGTTGCCACAAATACCACGATACATACTCAGTACACAACCATATGCATCAGAGATCATGGGATTCTGCGATGCAGCCGAAAGCGGTTACGCCGCAGTTATCTATCTTCGTACTCAGCACTCTTCCGGCGAGGTCAGTGTTCATCTCCTTCGCGGTCGGTCAAGAGTTGCTCCTATGCGACAGAAGCTAACAATCCCAAAGCTCGAGCTTTGTGGTGCTTTGCTTCTGGCTCGTTTGATCGGTCACTATTTAGAACTATTTAATGGTAAAATTAGCATAAGTGGTGCCACTGCGTGGTGCGACTCCACCATCGTTTTAGCATGGTTGCGCACTTCACCGCACAAATTACAGACCTTTGAGGGAAATCGTGTTTCCCAGGTTCAGGGCTTAATACCATCCGCAAAATGGCGATACGTACCCTCCGCGTCCAATCCTGCCGATTGCGCGAGTAGAGGCGTTACTGCCGATGTCCTCGTAGGTCATCAGCTGTGGTGGTCTCCTTTTTGGTTAAAGGATGATCCATCCACCTGGCCTACGAATCCATGCGTCGATACCTCGGCATTGCCTGGTCTGAAACCAGAAGCTATTTCCTCATTGGCTGCAGTTGAAGTCAATCCCCTCGGACACTCACTTATCACAAAATATAGTTCCTTTTCTCGGTTACAACGTATCACTGCTTGGCTTCTGCGTTTTATTTCTAACGCACGATCTGCCAATTCTCGAACCAAGGGACCTCTTACGGTCCATGAACTCAGCAATTCTCTTTTAACACTTGTCAAGTTGGTGCAAGGTGAAGTCTTTGCCGACCACATCTCAGCCATCAATAAAGGTCGATCTGTTTCGGGCCCATTGCAGCGCCTTGATCCTTTTATTGATGCACTCGGTCTTCTTCGCGTTGGCGGAAGACTCCGGCACTCCAATTTGACTTACACTGTGAAATATCCACTGTTATTACCTAAGTCGCATCATCTTACTCATCTAATCATTGATTATCATCACCTGCTCCATCTTCATGCGGGTCCCTCTATACTCGTAAACATTCTTCGCCAGAAGTTTTGGATTTTGTCTGCTCGACGGGTTGTTCGAAACCGAGTGTTTCAGTGCCATCGCTGTTACAGGCTAAAGGCGAAACCTCTGGAACCCTTTATGGGTAATCTTCCACCCAGTCGAGTACGGCTGAGTCATCCATTCACCAGAGTAGGGGTCGACTTTGCAGGTCCATTCACCATAAAGGCTTCTTGTATGCGCAGGGCGAAGACACTCAAAGCTTATCTTTGTGTCTTCGTATGCCTTGCCGTGAAGGCTGTTCATTTTGAAGTCACTTCTGACTTAACAACCCAAGCCTTTTTGGCTTGTTTTCATAGATTTGTCGCGAGAAGAGGAATGCCTTCGGATGTTTACTCGGATTGCGGCAAAAACTTTCAAGGGGCTGCTAATTACTTGAAGGCTCAGAGGTTGCTTTCAGACCAATTGGGTGTCACTTGGCACATGAATCCGCCTTACGCCCCACACATGGGTGGGCTTTGGGAGTCGACGGTCAAGTCGGCAAAACAGTTATTGTTGCGCACAGTTGGTGAGCAGGTTCTCACTTTCGAAGAGTTGTCCACTGTGTTTGCTAGAGCCGAGGCTGTTTTGAACTCTAGACCGTTATGTCCTCTTACAGATGACGTGTCCAATCTTGATACTTTGACTCCTGGTCATTATCTTATCGGCCAGCCTTTGGTCAGCTTACCGGAAGAAGCATCTGATGATTCTCAAGTCCCATTACTCAAACGTTGGAAGCTAGTGCAACAAATCTCGCATCACTTTTGGCAAAGATGGCAGGGTGAATATCTTCACAATCTTCAACAGCGCGCTAAATGGTGCAAAACCATCCCCAATTTGATGTTGGGTGACCTGGTTTTAATTAAAGACGATCACACTACACCCCTTAGGTGGCGAAAGGGACGAGTATCTGCGCTCCATCCTGGAACAGATGGCGTGGTACGCGTTGTAGAGATAAGGACCAGTTCCGGGTCTTGTCTCAGATCGTTAACTAAGGTGTGTCCATTGCCAAAATGCGATACAAATTAATATAAAACAAATTTTATATACTTAATTACTTTTTTTTTAACTTAGCTTTATTATCAAACATATTTTTTATATACATTTTAAATTAACTTCATGGTACATCAGCGGTTTGTGCAATCAATCCTATAGGTAAATCAGCTTGGTTAAAAGTTTTTATTGGATTTTGCATTCTTACCCATGCGGAATTCAGCTTAATTCGGAAAATCAACTCGGTTAGTTTTGAAATTGAAATCAACTTTATTCGGAAAATCAACTCGTCAATTTTAGAATATGCTAAAGAGCTTAGCAGCTCTTTGGGGGGCGGTCATGTTCGGTTTCAAATATATTGAATGCGTATAACGTAACATTACATCCGCTTACCCACCTTTTCCTATCCCTTGGACGATTTTTTATTGTAATACGAGGGTAGACAGGCAGTATCTGTCAGCTGCCTGTTACTACTACGACGCCACAGCGACCGGACGACTTGAAAAGTCCCGATCCAAATAACATATAGTCAGCGCGTCGGTTGTTCAACGAGCACAAAGGAACATCATCAAATCACCAAGATTACGTGAAGGACAGTTAGGACTAGCTCAAGATAACATTCCTACAACATCCGGAAACTTACGAAAATACAGGCAGACCAGCGCTGCTCTAAAGGCTATCGGAGAAAACAAATCGTAAGTCCAAATCACTTTCTGTCCCGCACACTACTCAAAAGGGGAAAAGGACATAAAAATAAATAAATTAAAAATAAATACATGAAAAAAAAATACTTCAAAAAAATCGGGGCATACTCTATACACGTAACTCAACAATCTCACGAAGTTACATTAAAATATTCAATTTCATCCTATACTAGCTGTCCCAGCGAACTTCGCCATAAAAAATAGGGGTTAGTGGTAGAAGGGTGAAAATTGAGGGGTTGTATGTATTTTTGTATGTAGTATCATAAAAAAATAAAAACAAAACATTTTTCAAAAAAAAAAATTTAAGTGTGGACCACCCTTAACATCTAAGGGGATGAACAATAAATACATGTCCGATTCTCAGACCTACTGAATATGCATATAAAATTTTACGAAAATCGGTCGAGCCGTTTCGGAGTAGTTCATTTACGCACAGCGTGACACGAGACTTTTATAAATTAGATTCATTACTAGCTGACCCAGTGAATTTAGTACCGCCATAAAAGTAGGGGTTATCGGTAGAAGGGTCAAAATTTAGGGCTGTATGTATTTTTTAATGCCACATTGAAAAAAAATGTTAGGGGTGGACAACCCTCATCACTTAGGGGTATGAAAAATAGATAGTGGCCGATTCTCAGACCTACTGAATATGCATATAAAACATAAAAATCGGTCAAACCGTTTCGTAGGAGTACGGTAACTAACATTGTGACACGAGAATTTTATACATAAGAATATTGAATTGACTCACTTGGCATATAGTTGGTGCATCTGTTCCTCGTGCGTCTTTTTCATCGCGTCCACGTCGCGGTGGAGGTCTTCCACCTTTTTCCGCCACGACTCATCGCAGTTCGTTTTAATCTCATCGATACGAGCTTCGAGTTGCGAATTTTTCTACAGGTTTGCGACATAAAAATATTTTATTTCCTTTATTTTTACCAGAAACAGACCATATTTCAAAAGTCAATAGTCCATTCCAAACTAAGTGTACAATGGTGTCGATTCTGGCATAATTCTTTAAACCTAAAACTAAATTTAACATCAGTCTCTCCTTTTCATTCGGTAAAGAGAATGACAAGGATACACTGTTGTCAAATATAAGTTTAGGTTTAGAGAATCATGCCAGAATTGACATCACTAACTGGTAAATTACAATAGGAGTACTTTCAAACTTATTCGCCCTTTTCGGATACAGCAAATGTTTAGTGGGCTTATATAATAAAATGGATTAATTAACAAACAATCCTCTAAAATATCAGATAGAATGATGATATATTTTCTTTGAGCATAAATTGCTCGATTAGTGCATCTAAAGAAGTTTGTACTCTAAATATATGTATTAGAAAAAAATCAACACGGCCATTAAGGTCTCCATAGCATTGCCTATTTTGCATCCGCCTGGAAAGCGAAAGGCACAGGACCTACTCTAATTCAAGAAACACGAAATTCCGATCAAAACTTCGCACTTTTCTTACTATGTTTCTGGTTCGTTTTTAATTTTTTTATACATAATAGGCAATGCGTTTGGCCATAATCTCGCCTGATACGAGTAGAAAGCGATGATGAGGCCTAGGATGGTACACGCCTGCCTAGAAGATGCCTGTTCACTCTGGCCTTGAAGATGTCCAGATTATATTTCTCTCTTCCTCCTCTCCCTAGCCGTTTGCATAATGAAAGCGGAAGCAAATCGCTTCGTGCGAATGGGAGAAACTTCGATAACATAAGGGTGAAAGCCCTCGCCGCGCCTGGTTGTCCGGTGGTGGAAAGGGAAAGGGGGGGTTCAAAATATGTATTATCTCCGCACACTCTCCGAAATGTAACCGATAAAACACCGAGAGGCAAGCTACACGTCTTCGTCTTCTTCGTCTACAATTATAATAATACTAGCAAACCAGTGAACCAAATGTACACCAAAAAAAAAATGTATTTAATTAATTGAGAACTTCGGAGATTTTGTGTGGTTTCGTATGAAATAGAAATCACGTGATTTCTCGAAAACCGGAAATGCTACGTTACTCACATCCGGTTTGTAGTCTTATCAGACTATTCTCAACTTATAACTTAAACATTCTCTTTATCTGTCTCTTACGGTTTGGCCGCTGAAACAGCACCACGGACGGACGGACGGACGGACTTGTCTAATAGATAAGAGATTAGTCGTCGGAATATAGTTTGAGGTATAGATTTTCTAAGCCTACTCAAAGAAAGCTTCAATTGGATAGTCCTATCCTTCAAATTAAGTATAACTTTAAATTGAAGAAATTAAATTTCTTTTGAACTTCTTTATCGAAAGTTCATTTCGGAGAAAGAGAGAAGACCCCCAGGAAACCTACCTGACATATGGATCATGTGGAATATTATCTAGAGTTTTTTTCTTTGAATTTATAGATGTTTGCGAAACTAACAAAAGTGTCTTTATATTTTATTTTCATTTTACCTCAACTAAAACCTTGTTGCGTGTTTCTAATTGACTGATTGTAACTTCGAGTTCAGCACCTAAAATATTAATAAATTAAATTAATGTATGTACTAACATATTAATATATCACACACTGTATTTGTAATTGAAATTTTATCCCTTCGGGGAAGCATATTGGAGAATCCTCGTAAGGAACCTACGTGACAAGTTTGGAGTCTCTAGACCCAGCGGACTCACTGACAATCAACGCATAACCCAAAATGCGTTGATTGTCAGTCAGTCACTCAGTCACTAAATTTTTTCTTTATAACAGGGTTAATTATAAAAGACCAACAACCTCTTAGGGAGTGATACTACCCATCAACAGGAACAACTTTTATTATGGGACCAACGCTGAAATCGCGAAAAAAATCTGCTGTTTCATACAAAACTGCATCGGCTAATCGACCGAAATGTATGAAACAGCTGATTACTTTTTCGCGATTTCAGAGTTGGTCCCATAATAAAAATTGTTCCTGTTTATGGGTAGAAGCACCCCCTAAGAGGTTGTTGGTGTTTTAAAATTAACCCTGTATATTTAGATTTGATTACTCACATCTGTTTTCAGTGGATCTCACTCTTGCTTGCACATCCTGGTATCGCCGTAGGGTGGCTTGTTCCGTCTCCGCTAATTCCTTCAGCTCAGCTTCGTATTGCTCCTTGTTGCGTCTGTTAATTTACGGTATAAATTAACAAATTAGTAATAATATAAAATACGATATACGCTAAAAAATGCTTCCACGAAAATTGCAAGTTGTCGGGGCGAAAAAACAGTGATCAACACTCAATGGGATTGTTTAGGATTTCCATTTCACATTATCTTACCCAATTAATGGATAACCGATTTCTTTTACAGATATTTGATTTGTCAAAGTATTTTGTTTTGTCTGTGTTCGTGTCGCGTTTTTGGTTGTATGAGTTTGGAACCAGGTTCAAGCGGCCTTTGTTAGAGATTAATAGCCCCTCTCTCTGTCCCGCTCCAGCTTGTTCTGTTTCTTCCTCGCCGCTCAATCTCTCTGTCTCACTCTAACTCGTGCTGTCGTCAATACTCTACCCCATAGCTTCCTGCAGTTCCTTCCTGGCCGCCTTCATACGCTCTTTGGCCGCTCGATCTCTCTGTCCCGCTCTAATTTATGTCATCAATATTATACCTCATAGCTTCCTGCAGTTCCATCCTAGCCGCCTTCATACACTCTTTGGCCGCTCGATCTCTCTGTCCCGCTCTAATTTATGTCATCAATATTATACCTCATAGCTTCCTGCAGTTCCTTCCTAGCCGCCTGCGCTTCCGTCTCCATGCTCTCTATGGCCCGCTCGATCTCCCTGTCCCGCTCTAACTTCTGCTGCGCGGTTATCTCCGTTGTCTTCCGTTTCAGAATCAGCTGCTGTTCCGCCTCGAAGTCCTTCTTGAATTGCTCGAAGCGATCTTCTAAGTCTTTCTCTTTTATCTTCAATTGTTCCTATGGTGAAAAATGGTCTTAGATATCAACTTTTTAACGGAAGCTGAAGTCTATCGAAAGACTTTTAATATCTACATTCGAAAGGTAGAAGTCTGCCTGAATCTTAGAACAAGAACGAAGAAGCATAGAAGTAATGCTTTGACATTTGAGCGTATACTCCCATAGACAAAAGATCAACGAAAAGATTTCCAAACAAAGTATTACCCAACCAAAAAGTATTAGTGGCGAGTTGGCAGGTTGCATTTGACTTTAAATATTTTTGATTCGGTATCGAAAAGGTATTCATGAGCCATATAAAGGTATCCAATTTGACATATGTATAGCGGTGCGCACGCTGTTCATAGTATAGTTCGTAGCAACATATTGTTACGTGTCGAGATAGGGTTCGAAATTATATGCCAGTTCACACTTGACAGTTCTTAATTTACCACATAATTCACAGATGTTTCTGAAACACACTATACTAAATTCACTTTACCCGATACAAGTTTTTAAACAATCGCACTTGAACACTTTACTTGCACTTTGATCGCCTTTGTATTCGTTCCGAAGTAGCTGTTGAAACTCAATTGTCTGCACAATCGCGCTTATTTACGCCAATTGACGCATTCTAGAAATGTCCAGTTTAATTGATAGTTAACTAGCACCCGCGAGTGCGTTGTACTTACTTTTATGTACGTAAGTAATGCGCATGAGCTATAAACAAGTGCAGGTGTCGTTGCACTTTCACCCTCACGACGCACTGCATAAGGCTCGTATTACAATGAACCGCACCACTCGACCTTTATCGCGATTATTCACGTCGCAACCCGCGGTGGTAAAATCTGTCTCCAGTATTTTCTCAGTTTTGGTTCAAGAGCGTTTGTGAGAATATATTTGTCCCTCTTTTAGTGTATATGTCCAAATAAGGTATGAGTCGGCTTTAGGAGTTGAATTTAAACTCTTTCTGTACTTTAGTTCTTGTTCTGAGATTTGAGCTTTGACCTGTAATAGTGCATTCACACTTACCCCATGTTTTTCCTTCTCCATGGCAATTTCTTCTTCTAATTTCAGCCTTTTCTCTTCCAATAGCTTTTCTTGCTCTTCTTTCCATTTCTCTGAAAATATGAAAAATGACTGCACTGCATTTCCAAATACGGCTTAAATTATTTTCCCTGACATTTGTTTCAATTTCAATTTATTTGTTTTGATTTTATTCTCAGCGCCATGTAGGCCTACAATTACAAGCACTCACACTGAAGTACTCTAATGATGTAGAGCCCGGGTTGCGGCGTCCGCCATCTCGTTACCAGGCATAGCATTGCAGTTGCATGGACACACACACAAACACCCACCCACACTTCATAAAGTTATCATCATGTGACAAATTCTTGAAAACACTTTTATATGGATATTCAGGTTTTGTCCAATCTTAATTTTGTTTTATTATTTATGTTAGTGAATTATGATTTTAGTGAATATTGATTTTGAAAAATTTTGGTCACTCATCCAATGACCGACCAAAATTTTTTTTATGTCGAGCTCCTCCGTGTTTCGGAAGGCACGTTAAGCCGTGGGTCCCGGCTGCATCTGCAGTCGTTAGCACCCGCCAATCCGCGTGGTGGGTCATGTCCCAATCTCTCTATTCCATCCATAGGAAAGGCCTGTGCCCCAGCAGTGGAGACATTAATAGGCTGATGATGATCTGAATATTGTATTATAATATTGCGTGGCAGAAATCCGCCACTTTCACAGACAGTGGATAGTCTTAAACCTCACCATGTATCACCAAGGGGGAAGGGGGTATAAAAAAAGCCAAAAAAACATCACGTGATTAATGGACATAGATGTATAAGAAAAGAGTAGGGGAGAAATAGACTCTACTACAAGTGGAAGTGTCCCTCTAATAGAAAGAGAAAGAAGATGAGAGACCGCTAGCTTTCTCTCTCTAATCGCGCATGCGCATTGGCAACCGTAAGCATCTTACTATTTCGATGTGATACCATTGGATGCCATGCGTCACAAGAGAGAGAGATAGCTAGCGGTCTCTCATCTTCTTTCCCTTTCTACTAGATGGACACTTTTAGAGCCGCCTTCCCCACTCTATTCTTATACTTCTATGCTAATGGATTGCCCCTTAATACTAAGTCTATGGTCCGGTATTGTATTGTACAGACCCGCCTGTCTCCGCTGATTGTCCGCGGCCGCGGCCACAGTGGCGGCGGCGCGTTCGTTCTCCGCTCTCATCTCGGCTACGAGCCGCGACCTTTGTTCTTGGTAAGTCACCTCCAACTCGAGAATTTGCTTCTCTAACCTGATGAATTACAGTCGAAATTGATTTTAGCAAAACAGACAGATCAACTTTATTAAGAACTAATAAAATTTAAGTGCAGAAATTATATGTTTACAAGCTAACTTCGTACCGCCATAAAAAATAGGGGTTGGTGGTAGAAGGGTGAAAATTTAATGTTGTATGTATTTTGTATGATATATCATAAAAAAATTAAAACAAAAAATTTAAAGGTGGAATACCCTTAACATTTAGGGGGATGAACAACAGATGTTGTCCGATTCTCAGACCTAGTGAATATGCATATAAAATTTCACAAAAATCGGTCGAGCCGTTTCGGAGTAGTTGAATTACGCACACCGTGACACGAGAATTTAATATACTAGAAGACACATTTACCGGGGGAATATTTTATATGAACATCATTAAAAGTCTAAAAAAGCCAAAAATAAAAATATCCGCATACAAAGTGGATGCATAGTAAAACTCTTTAAATCGTACAATATTTTTCCCTACCACTCGTCATTACACTTTTTTTTAGCTGCGGAGAAAAACGAGCGAAAAAATACTCCACAACATTTTAAAAATAATGTAACAACATTAATAAATCATTATGTTGTTACAACGTCAATACAATCATGATTTATATTTTACTAGCGGCCCACCCTCGCTTCGCTTCGGTGTAGAGCTGAAGTGTAGACTACAGTTTTTGTTCTCAGGCTTGTATTATACACAATGACATTCATCTATGATTCTTCTTATACCTGCATGCAAAGTCTCAGCCTGATCGGTTTAAAATTGTCAAAGTTTCATACAAACTTTCATTGCCTATTTTATCCCCTTGGGGGTAGAATTGATCAAAATCCTTTCTTAGCAGATGCCTACATCATAACATCTACCTGCATGCCAAATTTCAGCTCGATCCGTCCAGTGGTTTGGGCTGTGCGTTGATAGATCACTATGTCAGTCAGTCACCTTTGAGTTTTATATATATAGATATACATTTATCGAAACCCTGTTGGAATGATTGGAACAGTTCAAACCCGAGTATTTTTGCTTGTAATATAATCAGACACTTTGTAATAAGGGTTTTTACAGAGTAGTTAAAATTAAGTTCAAATATATTGTTAGGATAATTAATGATTAAGTACACTACGCAGACACACACACACACTCTCAAGCACGGGGACATGCACACGAACAGGGTGACGATGTAACCGTTGCGTTGGCAGTGCCGACTCAGCGTCCCAACTACTAGCAATTTTTGATGTGTAACATCTTTCCTCTCGCTTTCCTGCGATTTGTGGGAGTGATTTCGTTCAATGGGACGGAAGTGTGTAACAGGAAGTCGCAAAAACGCGCGCTATTTGATTTGATTTTAGAACATAATGTTCAAATGGCTTATTCCTTTTGCAGGTAGGTTTTATTTCTTTTTTTACTAATATGGTCACTTCACCTTGAGGTTTCAAATGTTACATACACATCATACGCGACTACTGTAAGGCTCGCTCGTTTTTTTTGTCTATCAATTATAGTATCTTCGAAGCTGTCACCTCTAAAAATATAGGAGATGGCAAAAAATATAGTAGTATCCTCTTTATGCAAAATATAGTAGTTTCACCGAATTTATATTTTTGCATAAATATAGTAATGATTCCCTAATATAGTAGGATACTAGATAAAGATCTTATATAGTAGGGTTGGCAACGCTAGCCCCAACGGCCACGGTTCTTCGAGCTCCGTGTCCCGCCCACTGACACTTCGGCACAGCACTCCTTCCTTACGTAATAAATATGCAACAGTTGGCTATTGGACTATTCTTATTTTTTCTTACTAAGGGGGGGGGGGGGGGGGGGTGAGGGAGTGAAAAACTAAGCAAAAACAAACAATTTATTGTGCGATTAGAGTGTAAAAGATGTAAGTTATTATAAATCCTAAACAAACAGAACAATTTGCTATTTGAAAATGACTAAGAACAGACTTGCCTGGAGCTAGCCAGTTGCCTCTCTTTAACCAGAGCAGCTTCCTTCTCATCTTCTAGATTCCTTCTGAGCGCCTCCAAGTCGGCCGAATGCTTCGCCTGCATCCTCCCACATTGTTCCGCGTGTGACATCTTCAGATCAGATATCTCCTTCTGCTGGCGTTCAGCCATCTCTCTTAGTTCTCCTTCTAGTCCTTTCACTGTCAACTCCTGTTTGAATAAAATCCAAAAAATATAAAAATTATTTTAGAAGAGAAATATATGAAGTTTATTATATTTTTCGTTTTAAAGCATTTAACTGTTAGGCGTTTAAATCGTGAAAACAAATCATTGCGGTCCCGGAAGCAGACGAGACTCGAACCCGCACCCTCCACTATCCGGGCGGTTGCACTGACCAATTATGCTGCTTTGCAGCCTAAGAAACACTAGAAGAAATTCGACTTAGCCATTAAGGTCGCGGTTCGAGGTTCGAGCCCCGTCTGCTTCCTGGACCGAGTGGAATTTCTTCAAGTTTTTTTTATATATGAAGTACTCAAAAACGCCTTTCGAAAATAAACGTATTCAGTAAATAAATTCTGATTTGAAGACTTACTTTGATTTTCTCCGCCTTCTGTCGAACCCAGCGCTGTCTAGCGACCTAGAAAAAGATTAAGTTAGTTGCATACATTGTAATTTCAACATCAGCCTATAAATGTCTCGAATGCTGGGGCACAGGCCTTCCCTATGAATGGAATAGGGAGTTTTGGGCCATTACCCACCACGCTGGCCCAGGACGGATTGGCGGGTGTTAACGACTGCAGATGCAGCCGGGATCAACGGCTAAACGTGCCTTCCGAAGCACGGAGGAACTCGGGATGATTTTTGGTCACCCATCCAATGACCGGCCATTGCGAAAGTTGCTCAACTTCAACGATCGCAGCCGAACGCGCTAACCACCCGCGCCATCAAGCTCCTCTTCAACGTGTAAGAATTTTATTAACATGGTTTCTGTAAAGTAGGACGAGAATTAATGAGAGTAGTTTCACAAAAAACGAGCGAACCTTACAGTAGTCGCGTATGATGTGTTACATTTGAAACCTCACCATATATTAGTAAAAAAAGATATAAAACCTACTACAAAAGGAATAAGCCATTTGAACTATATGTTCTTAAATCAAATCAAATAGTGCGCGCTTCCCAAACTTCATGTTACACACTTCCGTCCCACTTCACGTAATCACTCCCACAAATTGCACGAAAGCGAGAGGAAAGATGTTACACATCAATACCTGTTGCGCGGCGGCCATCTTGTCGTGTTGATTTCGCAGTTCTAGCTTGTAGCGTTCTTCGAGCGCTTGCGCCGACCGCTTCCAACGTTCTTCTAGCGCTCGTCTCTCGTCTACTAGTTGTTCTATGCGGTGATTTAAGGTCTTCTTGTCGTTTATTAGCTGTCCGAATATCCGTACAATTTACATTTGTTTGATAAAAAAAACAATCTTGATAATGACACGACGTTAAAAACCTTTAGGCTGCAGATAGACGACGCGAAAAAATTCTTGCGGCCGCCGCGCGGCGACCGCGCTGTGGCCGCGTAATAACTGTTCAGTCAGTTCAGTAAACTTTGAAATTTTTTGTGAGCAACTAACTGCGCAAAGATCGCGCGGTGTCCACTCCACGATCACACGGCTGGCCGCGCGGGCGCGCTGCCGCCACGCGGTCGCCGCGCGATCACTGCGTAGTTGGTTACTTACAAAGAATTTCAACGTTAAGTCCTAGTTATATATAAAACTTAAATCTCCTATGACTGAACAGTCATTACGCGGCGGCAGCGCGGTGACCGCGCGGCCGCCGTGCTGTCGCCGTACTGTCACCGCGCGACCACCACGCTGTGACTTTCTGTGTCATAAACGCGCCGTTAAACTCAAGACACACAACCCTTACCAGTACCCTTAGTACGAGTTTGAGGTCACGAAAACTATCATAGTTTTCGTATTTGTAAATTATGTTTCTATGGCCATTTTGGTGAAAAGTAACCAATATACTTAAAATTTAAGAAGACGCAAATGATTTAATGATAGAATATAAACACCGTTTATTTGTATTAAAACGAAAACAATAAAATCAGTACCTGCGAGCTCACGAAAACTATCATAGTTACGTAATTGTAAAACTCGTACTAAGGGTACAGTAGGTATACTGACACCATACTGTTATAGTGAAATCGCTTCCAATATTCATGTTATAAACTCATACCAAAATTGGTTCTTCTACCAAATAGCCTATTACATCAGGTACTAACTACTGTATACTAATGAAGAAGCAACATGCAGGCCGGCAGGGTGAGGATTGCTGGTGTGGTAGAACTGCTGTATCTGCTATCTTCACGTCTGGACTGCACCGTCACTTTGGGTCAACATCAAGTGGGGTGAAGTCATTTGTCGGATATATCGATAAAAAAATAAAAAAACAGGGTGGAGCAGTAACTAGCGGAAATTATCAGGCAAGTTAAAGGGAAATTAATAGAGAAGTCTATCAATAAATATTGTAACTTAATGCAACCTTTTGTTATCACATAATCTTTTATCTAGACACACGGTGGTGAGTCGAGCCAAGTTCAAGCTAACAGAACTGGCGAGCAGCACCGTTTGTAATAATTACGTGAACCATTAGAAACTACTTTTGTCCCCTCATAACCAGAGCTGTACTCAGACTACTTCCCCTAATATAGGTGCCTCATGATTTTACTGGTCTGCAGAAAGAAACGCGTGTTGAAACTTGCGTACGTCTTGTTGAATCGGCACAGAAATTAAGGAATGTTGGATAATACGAATTGTGACAAGTGACGAAAGAAGTAGATTCTTTACAATAACTGAAAACGAATAATGCAACGGCTAGACCCGTGTCATAGGCCGCAACAATGCTGCAGTGCCTTAAAACAAAGCTTACCAATAAAAAGGTAGATACCTAATGGTTACAACTTGTTGGTCTATTTATGGTGTTATTTACTATAGCTGCTGGTCAAGCAATAACAGCAAATGTTTACTGTGCCGAACTTATTCGTATATGAGAACTAATTCAGACCTTAGGCTTCAATATATTATCCTAAGAAGAAATGTTATTTTAAGTTCTTATAAAATATTATATGTTGTTATAAAAAAAAAATCAGGACTAACCATTGAACTTGGCACCCATTTAGATTTCACTTCTTTTGTCATTGAAGTCAACAACCAATACATACTAATATCATAACATTGAACTTGGCTCTCATTTCACATTTATGTTTGTGATGGTGTCAATATGATAGGCGTGAGACTTACTCCTTTCAATCCTTCGCGGGATAGGCAATGGATAGCTTAATGTCAGGTTAAGTGTAAACCCTATAATACTACTATAATGTTGAACTATGCTAGGTAAATTACCTGATCAATAAAATTTTGATGCCTCTTTATGGTTTCTTCGCATTCTTGTTTCACTTTGGCTATATTCCGAATAGACTGTTTCTCCAAGTTGCTCACTTTTGTAACCATCTGAAAAAATATAAATCAAAAAATATAATTTCGGAAAAGATACCATGTAAAGTAATCTTTAAAAACGAGACTGATACCCGTAAATACCCGTGTGTTTAAACCCATGCAAACTTAATTGCTGGCAAAAACTGAAATATCATATGACCCTGTCTCTGTCCAAGGTCCACCTACATAGTGCACCTGGGTGTACCAAGGGCAATTATTTCTTCCTGTAGAAGATAACTGGGTGTAGCAGGGGCTTTTCTTTTTTCCTGCGGAACACCCTACTTTACGTGACTGTACCAGAGGTAATTATTTCTTCCCGTCGTCTACCTGTGTTATAGATAGGGTTGCAACGATATATCGGAATATCGATAATATCGAGACCAAAATATCGATATTTATATCGATATCGGAAATTCTAAAATATCGATATTTCGTAGACTAAATTTGAACACAATAATATCAGTTAATTTACCTGCTATGACTATCTAAATTGAAAATTATCGAAATAACTATTGCTTTGAAATCGCAAGAGCTTATAGATGTATTAAAAAAATCTTGAACCCCAAGAAATATACTAAACTGGTGTGGATTCTGGTATGTTTCTCTAAACCTAAAATTAAATTTGACAACAGTGTATCCTTGTCATTCTCTATACAGAATGAAAAGAAGAGACTAATGTAAAAATTTAGTTTTAAGTTTAGATAATCATGCCAGAATCGACACCAACGTATATAGGTATAATCGTATACCTAATGGTAACTCATGCACATAAATAAAATCCTTGCCTCTCTTTCTAGATAATTGTCGACTACTGATTAATTGAAATTTAATATCATTGTAATATAACACAAAATAAAATTAAGAATCTTATACAAATCGTAAATTTTTTAAGCTCGCCAAGTCAAGAAAGTAAGATAGGTATAGTAATTTTGGAAGCTTTGGGCTTACCTGACTGCCATTCTGAAGCCATGGGCACGCCCCTGATGTTTTAACATTTTAAACAAAATAAATATCTTTGATTCGAAATTGCTTTTGATTTGATACTTCTTACAGTGCTATAATAATATAGAAAATATCTATAAACATCGTGTTGGAAATGTTGGAATGGCTGATATATTGGATCGGATATCGATATTTACCTGCCCACATTATAAATATCGATATTTTGGAAACCTTTGCTTCCTTAATTTTAGTCTTTTGCTTTTCAAACTTAACCCAAAGCAAAAAAGAAAAAAATATCGATAATATCGAGTTAAAATCGTCGATATATCGAATATCGATATTTTCCTGACTTCGATATAAATATCGATATTTCAAAAGACTTTGCATCCCTAGATATACACAAACTATTTTCAAACACATTTTTTTTCTTTTGAGGTGAGTTGTGATTTTTATACAATGACAGAAACATTGTTATAACTGACCTGCTCCTTATGGTTGGTGAGACTCTCCTGCAGCAGGGCGATGCAGCACGAGCGCTCCTCGAGCTGAAGCGACGCAGTAACCAGACGCTGCGCTAGCTCAGTTTGCGGCAACTTCAGCAAAGACTCCAATCTGATGCGGCGATGGTTTGCCAGATTAAAAATCGTCATCTCAATTTAACCAACATTTCAAAACACTGTACCCTGGCACGAAACAATATCAAACTCGAATAGTTTGAGAGTGCTAAATGTCTGAAACTTGAAGAGCAACGCCACAACGGACATAACAAGAACTAAAAATCAGTACACCTTCGACGTATATTAAGATCAAATTCAGCTAGGTATTCGATAATGGTTCGTGCTAAGGGTACGATTATTATTAAGTACTTTGAGGTGCCGTTCTTATTGAAACGTGAATGCGCGAATAGCGATTCGCGTGAATGTCGGTGTTCTCTCGATCAAAATTATAAAGGTAGTCCCATGGCTAGACGTTCACGTAATGTGATAAATGATTTCTTGAACAAAGTTCACACGAAATTCGAAAATTGCGGTCAATTAGGAATTCAGGACGACCGACGGCGCTCTATAAAACTAATGATCTAACTAGAGTAATCGATACATCTTTGTAATGTATCAATAAAAACGACAGCAATAGCGCATTCGGTTATTATTGGTATGGAATGTACCAAGTCCAATAAACTACTACACTAATTGGGCACTACATATTTCTACAACAAACACAGGATAAAGAACTCGTTTAAAACCGGGTACACAGATATGAAGAATAACAAGCAATCAACTTACTTGGGTATAGTTTGAGGGGTCGTGCTTGTGACTACAGACAGGGCGTCGTTGGCACTTTGTTCTACTTTTTCTAAAAATTCAAATATTTCTCTGAAATATAAATAAGAATTTGAACAAGCAGTTATGTATAATTCTCATGAGCTATTTATTTTGAACGCTGGAGTACAGACAAACAAAAGCTAATTAAAAAGATACAGCTTCTTCGCACAGATGGTAAGATGTGGCTCAGCAGAGGATTTTTATGCGATTAGTATAAAATTAAATCTAATAATATGTAGACTACCCACTAATTTGCACTGGACCCAGGTAGGGTTTCGGCCTGTTTTCCCTATTCTGTCAATAGGGATGGTCTGTGCCCCAGTAGGGACAAAGGCATGCTCCCGTTGCTTTAAACATTTTGGAAAGAAAATCGAACGAGAGAATGAAAAATCTGATATACGACACGACGTGGAAGGATGTAGAAGTCGCGGATAGCAAAGACTACCTATAACTATCAAATTGATCGCATTCTGAAGGCAGGCGCTGCGCTGTCAGAAGCTGTAGAAACGGACAGTGTATGATAAGAGCTATTGACGTATATAAAGCAAAATATGTTTGTAATAGCGGCGGCTTGTGGCGCTGAAGGAATGCAAAAAATAATAATCTTACAGAAAATTATCCTTGGCAGGAGTATTTTCTTCTTTATTAGGTTCTGCGACATTTTCAACATTGGCAACATCTATACTAGCAACAGCTGTAACTGGATTTTCGCCATAGCTCTCGATTTCTTTTAACATGGTATATATATCAAACACAGTGGATTTGGAATTCAAATCTGTAACTTTTGGAGCATCATCTTTTTTCTCTGAAAGAGATGGCGTTAAAAGTACTGCTGTTTCATTTTTAGCTGCTTCTTCGAGTTTTGCGTTCCTCGCCGTTCGTGCAGAATCTTGAATTGCTTCTGTCTCTTCAATATCAAGTAATCTTGGTGAAGGTGCCGATAACGACATCCAGGAGTCAATGTCTTTATCATTTTGTACGCTTTCTATCCTGGCAGATAAAGGAATCCGTGTAATGTATATATTCCTCTGAGTTTGGTTCCTTATATTAACAGGTATGGTTTTGCTATTAGTAACTCTTTTCATATTCTTATTATTCCAATTTTGTTTACCAGTTGCCGAATTTTCTTCGAGTTTGGAAGTACTGTTAGTCAAAGAGTTATTAGTAGGTGTTTTATCAAACTTCCGCAAATTTTTAGGTTCATATTCTTTACCGTAATCCCCCTCTTTAACTTTGAAATAATTTTGTATGAGTTCTTTAGTAGATATTTTTGAGATATCACGTTTATCATTTTCTTTTGTACTATTAATATTACGCGCAGACTCGTTTAAATTATTACTTTCAACGGCATTTTCTTTTTTATCATCTACCTTACTTTCTACAAAGTAACCAGAGTTTTGTTCAAACATTTTATCAATGTTCATGGGAGTTGGAGATATAGCATCTGTTTTCAAATCTTTAAGCGTTAACTCATGCAAGTTATTTATTGCCTCTAATTCTTTTTTATAATCTTCAATCACTTTAGATGTATATGCTTTAGTTGTACTGTTGGCTAAGTATGGTGGATAATCTAAGTCAGCATTGAATTTCTTATTATCTTTAATATTCGCTGGTCCATTACTACCGGGTATATTATTACCATCATGTTTGTTAGGTGAATTGTGTGGTGGAAAAGCTATGTGCCCTTCTTTCTTTATAAAAAAATCTTTATACAATAAGCGGCTATGATTTAAGGGCTCAGACCATTTTTTATCTAATGGATAAGTTTTATGATAATATTTATCATTACTGCTCGTAGAAGCGCTGTCTAAACTTTTGGGTTGGTCTTCAATACTTGTGTGCGAATTAGACTTTTTCAAAACGGAATTTGTAGTAGGCGGTAAAGAATAGTTCTGGCGAAATAATTTTTCATCGTTGGCACCACTGTCAGGGTAACCTGAATCCTTAGAAGAAGAATCAGTATGAACAATAGTGCTCGACATTTTTCTTTTATAAGTATCGAAATTGCTGGAATGAAAATCATCATAGAAACTATTATAAGTTCTTGGTTCTCCGGTGACATTTCGATTCTTTGTATACACATTATCTTTTATATCTTCTATGAAAGAATTACGACGAGTGAGATTTTCGACATTATTACTTTTTGAATTTTTATTATCAAGTGAATTTTCTGGTGATAAACTCGATAAGTTTTGCGATGGTACACTTTCTAAGTCTTGAGTAGATTCCTCTTCTACAAGAGACAGTTGTTGTTTCGTAAGTGTAAGCCGCCTTGAGTAAGTATCTATGGCTTGTTCAACCTCCGCTTGTATATTAGGATCGCTAAAAGACTGCTTTTCTACAGGCTTATTATCTACTTTTCTGTCCATTTCCAAAGGAAGAAAGTATGATTCATATGAATTAGTTTTAAATGTCGGTGAACTACTACGACCATAAAACATACCGACGTCATCTTTTTTGACTAGAGATGGAGATGTTGGTGTCCTTTCAGTTATTTTTATTTCTAAGCCATAGTCATGTTCAATTTTATCTTCATTAACATTATCCATTGGCTTGCGATTTTTCCTGACTATATTTCTGTATTTCAAATGGTTTTTTGCACCAGTTGTTTTTTGTTTAGGGGTCACTTGAGCTTTGGCTTTTATTTTCGTGCCTAAACTAATGAAAGTATCCTCGGATCCGTAATCAGAGGCATTGCTACATACGTCCTTATCTTTCCTTATAGATTTAGGAGTTTTTGGTTCGCCAAGAAGGTCTGTTGTAGGGGGCACTACTTTTAAGTTAACAGGAGAACCTACAACAAACACTTTTATTAAATAATATCAAGTGTAAAGCAATACCAAGCAAAAAAATAAAGTAGAATGCACAAAACAAATTCATTAAAAAGGTAGAAGGAGATCATATAAATTACTATTATAAGACTGCAGTAGCTCAGCACTAAAAGCTTTCAGGAATATCCTTGTTGATGGTACTCGTTCTTTTGCATCAGCTGAAAATGGTCTTTTGTATTTTTCTGGAAGATCCTGTGATATGGAAAAATTGGTTAAAAATAAATTGTATATTGACTTCTATGTATACACAGTCAGGTCATAAGTATTGTCACACAGTAAAAACTTTTCTTTTGGAATGCTGGCCACAAAAAAAATATTGAATTCGAATATCGAATTGTTCATGAAAATAAAAATGAATACTTTTTAAAATTTTACTCATTTTTAAATATGGAGTGGACGCTTAAAGAAGACCGTGTTGCAGTTATTGCGTTACATCGTTGCGGTTACGCGCCAATTCAAATTTTTGACATACTTAAAAAATTGAATATAACCAAAAGATTCGTTTATCGTACCATCAAACGATATAATGAAGACTCTAGTGTAGATGACAGGTCAAGAAGTGGTCGCCCTCGGTCTGTTAGGACTCCAGCAGTGATAAAAGCTGTAAAGGCGCGAATCCAAAGAAATCCCAAACGTAAGTAGAAACTGTTGGACCTTCAGATGGTGTTAAGCAGAACCACGGTGAAAAGGGTGTTAAATGAAGACTTAGGGCTTCGGGCATATCGAAGAAAAACAGGACATCATTTGAATGCTCGTCTAATGGACCTGAGACTGAAGAGATGCCACGCTTTGTTGAAGCGGTACGCGAGAAAAATATATCGGGAAATTCTTTTTTCGGATGAAAAAATTTTTACCGTAGAAGAGAGCTACAACAACCAAAATGATAAGGTACGCACACAGTAGTGAAGAAGCGAGCAACCGTATTTCGCGTATTCAACGATTCGAACTATCAAGTTTCTTATTGGGGCTTAACAGAGGTACATTTTTGTGAGAATGGTGTAAAAACGAATGCAGTTGTGTATCAAAATACAGTCCTGACGAACCTTGGGGAACCTGTTTCTCATACCATGTTCAATAACAGGAACTGGGTATTCCAACAAGATTCAGCGCCAGCTCATAGAGCGAAGAGCACACAAGACTGGCTGGCGGCGCGTGAAATCGACTTCATCCGGCACGAAGAATGGCCCTCCTCCAGTTCAGATTTGAGTCCGTTAGATTACAAGATATGGTAACACTTGGAGGAAAAGGCGTGCTCAAAGCCTCATCCCAATTTGGAGTCACTCAAGACATCCTTGATTAAGGCAGCCGCCGATATTGACATGGACGTCGTTCGTGCTGCGATAGACGACTGGCCGCGCAGATTGAAGGCCTGTTCAAAATCACGGAGGTCATTTTTAATAAACTTTATTGTCATAAGAATCTATGTTTTTTTAAGTTCATTTTGGTATATAAATGGTTACATAATGAATAAACTTGTTTCAATTATTTTATGTTAAACATGTGACAGAATTTATGACCTGACTAGGTATTTTATATTAAGAAAATAAAAAGTTTGTGGTCAAATTAGCTTTATTATAAGCTAAAAGCAAATCTCATGACATATAGGATATCAAGAATTTCAACGAGTTTTAGAATTCTATTAGAGAAAGCTAGGAAGTAACCTACTTGCTGGCATTATGGAATGCAATTTACTTTATGCAATTGAAATACACATGACTTTCCCCATAATGTTCATACAAACATTTTGGTGTAACCAACATATAACTCTCTGTTAGAGTCTATAGTCTAGATAGAGTCTGTTGACGACCTCTGAGGCCGAGTGCTTTTTACTCCAGGTTTCATGGTGTCGCCGACTCGAGAGGTCCCGGGATCGAATCCCGGTGTGGCAGATCTTTGTGTGATGAATACGAGCATTTGTACTCCAGTCATGGATGTTTAATATGTATTTCTATATAAATATGCTTACACATGTACAGTATATGTATTCTATCCGTTACCCTAGTGTCCCATAACACAAGCCTTACAGAGCTTACTTTGGGGCTAGGATAATTGGTGTGTGTTTAAAAAAAAGAGAGTAATGCCCATATTAATTCTAATTCGTATTCGGTAATACTTCACCTGGCCTTTGTTATAGAGTAAATTTGGAATTTCAAAATTGTTTATTACAGAAAATAAATGGTTCATTAAATCATTAGTAACAATATTTAACTTAAATGCTATGTTACTATGTATTATTTTTAGGATTCAATCAATGATGTTTGGATACAATAATGTGTATAACTTTTTTTAAAATATTGAAATTCTATTATAAATAAAATAAAATTTAATCTAAACGTCAAGCTGTTAAAATAAATTTATATACATAATTATTTAATATTTTACATTTAAGGTCATATAAATATAATGTCATGTAATTTAATGTAAATGTCTATCTATTAAAATGAATTTATTCAACTTAATATTCTATATTTAACGTCACATGAATTAAATGTCATATAATGTTAATTAATGTAAATGTCAAATAACAAAAATAAAATAAACTTAAATAACTAACTAAAATTCTAATTAAAAGTCACAGAGTCAGTAAAGCAGCAGGTAAACCATGGTTCTAAACTCATACAGCTAAACTTCAATACTAACGCAACATACACACAGATAAAACAAAATACTTTGACAAAATAAATATTTGCAAATGGATTCAGCTATCCATTCATTGGGTAGGATAATGTTAAACGAAAGTCCCACCCAACCCTATCATCGGTGAATTGTTTGCATTATTTTCGCCCCATCCACTTGATTGCACTTTGTGTGGAACCACTTTTTAGAACAGTTCGTATTCCATATTATATCTAAGGTGAAACTCAGCATAGTAAAAAGTAGTTTACTGAAATCTGAAGAAAATTTAACTAGAATAAATTCCCTGAGGACAAGGCAGCAGACGGTACTCGACTCCGCATCTTCCGCAGCCCAGGCAGATGCACTAACCAATTATGCTACCGTTTCCCTAATGGCCCTGTAGATTAAACATTTACCTAACTTTGGATTGAAACATCTAGCAGTTAAATGCCTAAAAATTAAAATATAACTACAATCTGCGGGCACAGCAGTACCTGCCAAGTTGAGCAAGAACAGCAAATACTATTTCTTCTGAAATGTTTAATACTTGTAAAGGGCTTCATCTGACATTTGTCTGCTGCCTAGCCCGCATGGAGATTTTTCTAGTAAAATTTTCTTAAGTTTAATTATTAATTCCAACATGCATTTTAATGTCCAATTAACATGAATATTTTTTTTTATTGTAAATCTAAACTTTTTATGAAACAAATAAAGGGGAAAATATTTTTGCATCACATAATATTCAAATGTGCACATAATATTCAAATGTGTACATAATACTCAAATGTGTACATTTGAATATTAACTTATTTGTTATACTTTAATTGCAATTGAGCAAATGTTATAAGGTGCTCTACTTATTTAATATATACTTTCCAGGCTGTATTGTCAGAATTCTGACGAATACTGCAGCCTGGAAAGTAGCCTGGGCAGTAATAGAAACCTGGAAAAGATGTGAAACATCATAAACAAATCAATCAGTGCATCTATACCATTCAAACTTGTTTAATTTACTAAGTGGTGTGCGTGAAAACCTAAGAAACAAATATATACTTAAATCTTACGAAAACTGTTATGTTGGATAATCACACCAAAAATATTTAATATAGTACAGAAAAAAAAATATGTTTGATTTATTTCTATGCTGAGCCATTGCAAACTGGGACGAAAGTTTTATCCCATATTTAAGCCCCAGCAACATTCAGTTTCCCAATGAAAAGCAGTGCTTTACAAGGCCCCTTTATTTCTGACTCCAGTTAAAACATGAAAGCATAATAGACAGACAGATAAAGTTACTCTTACATTAATTTACAATATTAATGAGGATAAATAGTGTTTTTTTATTTTCTTTTATAAAAGAACAAAACATACAAGACATAAGTACTTGTGAAAAGAAGTCTTGTGTAAATAATTTATGTAAATATTAACTGGATATGGTTTTAGGTGTGGTTAATATATGTTTTATCCAGACTCTAGTGCAACTTCTATGGAATTTATAAACTTTTAAATAGTTTATGCTGCTAGTCCAGGCTATTTTAAAAGCACTTGTAACAGTAGAAAAGGAGCTGTAGCCATCAGTGTTCCAAATTACTTTAAGACAGAATATACTGAGAAGAAACTGCAATGAGAGTTCATTGCAGTTTCTTCTTGATGAGTATCAAGGGCTGTTGTTTATATTACCGACACACTTACCGGAGTAAAGCAAGAATTTTGTAACGCCGACCGGGGTCGATTACGTATATTTCGTTTGTCGTCTTTTTTCTTGCTTCTATAAGTCAGATTCACAGGCGAACCGAGCAGCCTCAGTTTTGAATTTTCTTTCGACATTTCAAATTCATTCCAGATAGGTTATCAAAGCATCAAAATTAAAATTAATCTAGTAAACTTCTTTTACATTTCCCTTGTTTATTGGTTTGGTTTACTGTGTGTCAGTTTTGGTTGGTTGCTAGGTTACGTACCCCTATTCTAATATCTGGTACGACCAAGGCACGATAGTACAAAACGCGAAGGCGGCAAAAATAAAAAGCTTTAAAAACTACCTATGTAAATAGTAAATAAATAGAAGATAAAGAACAACCAACCAAATCGATTATTAAATTAATGGTATTTTTGTAAACATTTTAATATTTTTTGTATACTTATTGATTGTATAAAACCGGAAGTATTTAAGAATAGCACCGCAACAAAAACTACTGTATTGCCATTCCATCAATGAGTGAGGTGTGAATTCTACTAAAATATTTAGTGTTATTACATAAAGACTCAAGAATATAAATTATATTATTGTTTTAGTTTTAGGAATGCAATTTATACAATTATTTGTAAGTGTTTCCCATTAATATTAAAGTAATTTCTCCAGGTAATATAGTTTGAAGTATGTCATTGTGCAAGAACAAAACGCTTTTCAAGAATGACGTCATTGATAAAAATATCTACTGCGCATTTGGTATATTTACCTTTTTAAGCTACCTACTGCGTTTCACGTATCAGTATCAACCGCACCACGGTTACGTATTTCTTCAATTTTATAGAACTGTGTTGCTCGATCTCCAGTTGAAAACCTTGAAGGTATTTCGATCGGTCTCTGCGTCGACGTATTGGTGAATCGCGTTCGTTTCTCAGTTCAGTGGAAATTTTATATTGGTGTAAATTTTGTGTTAATTACTAAAGTTGTTCGTGCAAAAGGTGATTTCAAATAGACCGGCAAAATGTTTAGCGGAATCGCAGGTGAGACTTTATTTTTTTGTAAACTACATACAGGAATATAATAAAATAAATGTATCTATATAAATTATTGAAATACATACAAATTCATCTATTCATTTTTTAGAGCACTTATAGTTTAGCGGAATAAAACTTGGAAAAAGTTTATTCCTAAATATTTATTTAGTAGTTGTGTACACAAAGTATCTATTTATTTATTTAGCCAAGTATTTTTATAATGCATAGCCTTAGAAACTGTAATGTAGCAATAGCAGTAATATTTTGAGTCCTAACAGCACTTGGTCCTTAATTTCCGATTTTTTAATTAATTTACGAGATTAAGAAATTGAGGTCAACAAGTTTATTTGTTTACTTACTTAAATTCTTATCTAAAGCAGGTACTTACCTTGTTACATAATTATCACTTCCACTTGCTCACATATTCAAAAGTTTGGAGTTGGTACATTCTTTAGTTCTGAAGTGCCTTCAATTCATATTTATCTCTGGAATGCAGTTCAATAGGCATTTAGATTACCTAAGTCACTAAGTCCTATCCAAACAAATAGCCGTGAGTCGGTCTAGAAAAGTCCTAACATTCGGGTCGGGACGAAAGGATGGTGGACATTTGGTACGGATCACAGGTACATACAACTGATGTAGAGCTTTATATTGTTGGAGATAAGATTCAAAATTTATTGAGAAAGTTTCAGTTTATGGTAATTTAATGTGTGTGGCTGTTTGTACCATGTACTTACGGACGCACTTTACGGAGACTAGTCCAGAAGAATGAGAAAAAGATTTTGACGACCAAATACAAAAATAAATCAAATCTTGTGTTTCTGTGTGGTATGCTTCTTTTAGTACACAGGTAATGCTCATTTTGCCACCTACAAGTACTTATTTTTCATATTAGTATATACCTACCCAGTTATTGAAAGTTTAGGAGGCCTACATTACTATTATTCATCTTTTAAAAATAGAATTGGATTTTTTAAATCAACGTAATGCAGAAAGACACAGATTCAAGGCTTTTATAAATACACTTTGATGCCAAATATGGCATTGCTGTAATAAAATAAAAACTCGTATAATGAAATAGACGTCCATATATAGATATAGGTACCTGCCAAGTCGGATGTGTGAACTGAACACAATCGAGAAATATTATGGCATCCATCTGTCCCTAAGATTAAGATCAATAAAATAGAAACTACGCAGTACCTATTTTGCGGGAACCGGTCATTCGTCAAACAAACATTTTGAGGTGTTGTAAATTAACGAATGCGGTATCGTCACGACTCTTTAGATACTTAGGTACTCGTTTGAGATTTACATAACTTAAATACTTTTTATATTATTTAATTCTGTTTACGAATGCTCTGTGGTCAGCGAAATAGAAAGCCGCGCAAGTGCGCGTAGGACTCGCACACAAAGACTTTTTGAAGGTTCCATAATATCATAGCTTAACAATTATTAAGGAACCCCTATAGTTCGCTATGTCTGTCCGCGTCTGCTCGCAGCTTATTTTATGGACATTCAGGTTATTAATATTTTGAGCTTATTTATTAAATCTGCCGTGTAATCGTAATTAGAAAGATTTAGGGCAAGACTTTACCTACCTACGTTCGCGACCTCGCGAAAAATCCTTCTACTTCGAGAAGAGTGCAACCAGACAATATTCTGCCCACAGAACACAGAAACCTCTTTCTGTGTTCTGTGATTCTGCCACAGTTTTACAATTATTAAACTGTGTGAATCTGCTGTGCTGTGATAGATATCGATACCGGGTGCTAAGTTAATCTAGATCGCAGATCATTTCATTTAGCTGGACACATTTGAGTTGTTTATTCTACGAAGAGTTGCATGACTTAGAATAATAACGCCTATTTTTCTAAGTTGCATGAGCTCATTCTGCCCACGCTATTTTACCGCTAAGTATACCGACTATTTATTACTTATACCACAACACCTATAGTCGGAGAGCAGGTTGTATAAAAGTCCTATGGAACAGATACATGAATCATTTTTGGGGTGTGAACAATAAAAATTATGACGTCACTTCCGGTTTTCATTTTAGATGTTATTGTTATTTATCAGATACATCAAGAAAATGTATGTCAAAGAAAGTTTTTGATGAATAGAATGTCAAGGGTCGACAAGCTCTATTTATTCGCTACCCTGAGTCGAAAACCATTTTTTTTTAATTTATCTAATTCATCACAGGTAATTAAATTATTAAACAAACATTGAGATGAAATATATAAGCATAGGCTCTTCGATTCTTTAAACTAAGTCGACAGTCAGATCCGGGCAAATAAAAGGTGTCTACCAATTTTTTTCAGTCAATTAAACTAATAAAAAAAGTTAACACAGAATAGTTAGAATAAAATATTTTCAACCTTAATGAATAAAAATATTAATTCAGGTCATGTTGATTTTAACGCGAGAGTAATATTTATTCGTAAAGATAAATATAACTGACTGATGAAATTATCATAATGAATAATTTCAATCACAGACCGACCTAATATAAAATATTGACATTAAATCAACTTGTTAAAAATATTCCGATTGTATTTGAATAACTGAGATTTTCAAACATTAAAATTATCTGACATATTTATTCAAATAGTAAATTTAACCTATAATTTTTTTCAACCATTAACGCCACCTCTAGTAGGTACGTGATACGTACGCTCCTACATTAAGTTGCTATTTCTTGATATTATTGTCAGGAAAAGTTAATAAAAAATTGTCTAAATTGTAAACTATGAAACTTGAAAGCAAATGTGTGCATTGTGCATGATGCAGTAGACAAACATGAACTAAACTTGCGAATTCTTTGTTAACAAACTTTACGGTAATATAAAGCTGGTTTTTGATATATAATAAAGCAAGAGGAGTATATCAAAGTTTATCGGAAATTCAGCCAACATCAGATAAAATGATTTCATGCAAATAACTTGCGCTAACGTTGTAATTTATTACGTGATATTGCCAGTGTTTTAAATTTTGATAATATAGGGCTTGCTTTTTCAGAATATCTTCAACTCAATTTTACATATATTGTTTTTAACTTTCATGGTCACTAACATTATAGATATTAACGGGATTGTTACCATGTACCTTGTTTTTTATGAGTCTTCGATATTTCGGCACTGTTGCAAGCGCCATGATCACGGAGTAACTCAATTTTACATACCTTACTAATAGTCGCTGCTCTACTCATATCGTTACTTGTTTTAAAATTACGGTGATATTGCGTCATCCCCGTCTCGAAGTAGAATAGTTAGACTGCAGTATAATAAACACGCAAATGCAGATTGTATTGACCCCACGATCTATGTCACGAACGAACGAATAAAATTAAAATTAGGTTACATTGGTACCAATTCTGGCGTGATTCTCTAAACTTAAAACTAAATTTAACATCAGTCTCTCCTTTTCATTCTGTATAGAGAATGACAAGGATATACTGCTGTCAAATTTAAGTTTAGGTTTAGAGAATCATGCTAGAATCGACACCATTATTATTCGCCTAATTTTTAACGCTTTTACCGATTTTTTATAATAATATTTTAAAACAGTATAATGTTGCATATAATGAACAGTATAATAGGGTATTTGACAGTATTAAAATTAAAGTGCCAATCGTTAGCATCTGTATTTAGAATGAATATCGGCAGGAGTTTTTACTATTTTTACAGAAAAAATATTCATAATTTTACTAAAAACCCACGATGAAGATAATAGTTTTCTTGTCTATTATCACGTGACCCAAAACGCTTGGGATTGGTGGAGCCTAAAATGACGTCACATGCAAGTAAACTTCCGGTTAAAGTGACATTTGATTGTATGGTTTGACGTTTTAATGACAGTCGTGTGACGTCACACACCAGTGCGACACCATATTGTCCAGAGATACGTTTTTCGCGGCAGCTTGAAAATGGAGTTTATGATTTGGTTTTTTTTACCGAAAAACACAACATATGAATAACCACTTTTTATGGACTCTATAAACATTAGTAAATAACGTGAGATGGTTTTCTAAAACTTGTCAAATACCCTATTCATCACATAGTGTTAAATTGTCTAAATCGGGCTTTTAATAGAATTTTAAGATGGTAAACTGCAGTAATTTAACTGGGTTCCATGGATAACCTGCCTGGCTTACTCCTTATAACATCATGTGGGTGGGGCTGAATCATTTGCTACGGTGCACCGGTGTGGGTACGTGTTTTCTAATGCTCAAATTGGAACTTAAAAAATATATATACTAAAAATGCTTCCTGCGATAACTTTTTATTAAATATTCGACTAATGTATTTATTTATTGCTTGTAAAACCTCTGATATTTTAGGTTTATTACGCTATATTTTTACGAACTTCATCATCGATAGCGAGTTCGACTCGCCGGTTTGACCAGTTTTAATAAATACGCAAGTATCAGTAGACAGACAACAAAGTACGAGGTATCAAGTGAGGTCACGGCTGCCTCTAGGTCACAGTAAACCGTGTGGATCGACAGAGAATCCAGTGTCATGACTCACACCTAGAACGCCGCGGTTTCTCGGCGTTTAATCAATCGTAAACAGTTCACTGCGTCATCGCATTTATTTCGTAGTTATAGACTCATAGTGCATAACTGCATTATGAGTCTATCTTTGAAAAAGAAAATGTCTTTTTTAACAATAAACTGTAATAAGAGCACCACGGGGTAGGGAATGAGGTCAGAAGGGTTGCCAACCCTATTATGTATAGTATCCTACTATTTAAGGGGATCAAAAACTATATTTCTAAAAAAAACTACTTACTTAATTTTTTCCATTTTTTTGCCAGCTACTATATTTTTAGAAGTAACGCTTCGAAAATACTATGTTTGTTAGAAACGAAGTTGCTAACCCTAGGCAACCCGCAACTCCCGCAAGTGATACAGGCAATCAGCTTGTTTGCCACCCTTTTCATAAAAAGAAAACTTTTGTTTAGAAATTTCTAGAGCAATTATTTAGTCCTGTGATTACGAG